TAAATCTAGAGTCTGCATATGAAAGAAATATAATATTTGTTTTTCTGAGTCAAGGTTAGCAGCATCCTTTCTGTTTATTTAAAATATATTTATTTATTATTATTGTGTGTATATATGATGTGTGTGTTGGAGGTGGGATGGAGAGATGGAGAAGGGTGTGGAGGTAAGAGGACAACATTGTGGGATTGTGGGTCCAGGGGTTTGAACAAAGGTCAGAAAGCTTGTTCAGAAAGCGCCTTTGTCTGTTGAATCATCTCAATAGCCCAGCACTATTTCTTGAAGAGAATATTCTTTCACCATTGAATGAACTTCATGCCCTTGTGAAGTGTCAGTCAATTATACACATAGAGCTTATTTTTGTACTCTTAATTCTATTCCATTTACCTGTATGTTTATCTTTATGTAAAGTAACATACTGTTTGATTTGTAGCCTTGTAGTAAATTTTTAAAAAGGATTAGCTTCAGGTAGCCTAGTTGGTAGAGCTTTTGCCTAGCATGCATGAAACCCTGGGTTTGATCCCCAGTACTAAATGAAATGGGTTTGGTGATATGCCTGTGATCCCAGTACTTGGGAGGTGGAACCAAGAGGATCAGAAGTTTAGAAATTCAGTGTCATTCTTGGCAACATAGTAAGATTGAGGCTAGTTTAAGATGTACGAGACCTAGACTTAATTTTTTTGAAAATATGTCTTCTGACACCAATATTATTTTAGTTTGTTGGTCGCCTCTAGTTTCATATGATATTTAAGGTGGGCTTTTCTATTTCTGCAAAAAAAAAAAAAAAAAAAAAAAGACTGTTGATTGAGAGTACATTGATTCTGAGTTATTCTAGTTGCAGGCCGGTGCAGTGTTGGTAATGGGAGCCAGGCCTTCATGCATTCTGAGCTGTATTTTTAGTGTGTTTTCTTTTAGCTCTGGAATCTAGAAATTTACTGGTGATATATAGAAGCAAAACTGAATTTCTTTGTGTTAGACATTTTACTAGAGTATCAGGAATTAACAAAAATTGTCCACTGAAAACTATAGCATTGCTGAGATTCATTCAAGGAGACCTAATAAGTAGAGATGCAGTGTTTCTGAACTAGATTCTGATTGTTAGTAGGATAGAAGGCGTGTTTGGCAGTGCAGCAGATGAAGGAGGGCAGAAAGACATTTGGGACAGCTATTCTTTTGGAAAAGGTGCTTTAGCAAGTGCAATCTCTCACACGTTATTGGACTAATAGCGTACATATCTGTCAAGCAGTAAATCTAGTTTTCCTTTTTTGAAAGATATTTATGATTATTATATATACATAGTATGTGATAGGAGTGGCGTTTATGCACAGAAGTCAGAGGACAGCCTTGTGGGTTTAGTTCTCTCCTTCCTCTGTATGGTCTGGAGAGGCAAGGACCTTTACCCTTTACTTCTCCCCTGGTCGCCTAGTTTTCCTTTACATCTCTCCGTAGAACAAAAGAATAAGAAATGTATCATCTATCCAAAATAATTAAAACTGAAACTTCTTTAAGAATATGTGGCAGAAAATTCTAGTGATTTTTAGATCAAGAAAATATTTCTTAAACAGGGAGTAAACTCCACAAATTACATAATTTTAAAGTGGCTTTTAAAAATATTTTTGCTTGTGAGCCTAGCCTTTAGTGACTGAGACATCTCTCCAACCCTAAAAGTGGTTAATTTTGACTTAATTAAAACAAAAATGTTTGCTCAGCAAAATATTTTTTTTTTGATTTATTTATTATGGATGCAGTGTCTGCATGTCTGCCTGCAGGCCAGAAGAGGGCACCAGATCTCATTACAGATGGTTTTGAGCATATGGTTGCTTGGAATTGAACTCAGGACCTCTGGAAGAGCAGCAGGCAGTGCTTCTAACCACTGAGCTATCTCTACAGCCCTGCAGTAAAATGAATTGTTAAGGGCAGACCAGATGCTACAGGCCTGTAATTTTGGGTGCTCTGGAACCTAAGACATCAAAGCCAAGACCAGTTTGGTCAATTTAGTAGGATTTTTATCTCAAAATGAAAAATAAACAGAGTTATGGGAGGTAGGTCATTTTTGGATTTAGTATCCAAGTGGCCCCATGTTTAAACATTTCCAGTATTCTAAAAAATTAGTAAAGAGGGAAAAATGAAAGGAAAGGAAGAAAGATAAATTGTTAATATAATACAAAGAAAGTGAGCATGTTGGTGCATCCTGTAATCCTAGCACTCAGGAAGTTGGACTAAGAGTATTATTGTCAATTCAAGACCAAATTTTACTGCATAACGAGTTCCACACCAGTCTTGTCTCACTCCTATCCCTGATGCCTCCAAAAAGAAAAGAAAAGAAAAAAAAGAATGTTGGGCGGAGGGGGGGCAGAGAAGGAAAAAGGCTCATGATCTGCACTTTGGGAGGTGGGAGCAGGTTCAGGAGTTCAAGGTCATTGCAACTACATAGTGAATTTTGAGGCCATACTGACCTTTACGATAGTTCTCAAAGAGCAACAACATTAGGATCGAGAGGTGATTCAATAAAAGCACTTGTTGTAAATACTTGAAGACTAGAGTTCAGTTTCTTCCAAACCCACAAACCAATAACTGACTTGGTGTAGTGGCAGATGCTTGTCCTAGCACTAGGAAGATAAAAATAAGGGGATATCCTTGTATCCAGTCAATTCAGCAAACTCAGAAGCACTGAGAAACCCTGTCAAAAAATAAGGTATATAGCCAAAACAATTAGGAGTAAATTATTTGGACACTTTGGTAAAGAGTCCAGGGCTCTGCCTATACTGTGGACACTGTTGGGTTGACTGCCCTGCTCTGCCGGAGCAGGTCAGTTTTCACAGGCTCCTCTTCCATGGGAAAATCTCACAGACTTCCTGAATCTTACAGCCTAAGGCCAAAGCAATCCTGTTCAGCAGCTGAAGTTATAATATTATCCTGTATGATTCTGTCACCCCTTTATCATCAACAAAAAGCTTGGAATGTTAGGTTTCAAGAAATTTGTCATTCAAGTCTGGTATTTAGACAAAAGCAAACATTCATTCCCTCAGGAACTTAAGCAGCTAGTTCCTATTGCTAAAATGAATCGTTTTTCTTATCTTTGACAAAAGGGGCATATGGCTGCTCCATTAACCTTTGCCTAAGGTGCTGTTTAGCACATCAATTCGAACACACTGGCCACTAGATACCTCAATATCACCAAAATTGTTATAGAGTCATCCTGGCTCGCATATCCCATCGCCTGCCCTCCATCTCTCCAAATCATAGGGGAGAAGCGTCCTTTTCCAGGTATCAGGGGGATCAGTATAGTGAGAGGAGCTTTCTGCCACAACAATGTGACTTTTGTAGTTTTAATAGATGTAATAGGCAGCTCCAGGGTGACACTTATTCAGTAGAAGAGGAGAGGATAAAGCATCTGAAGAGATGGAGAGGCAGTTCTTATGGGGACCAGGAGAACTTTCTGGGAAAAGGGAGGGTTCTGATAGAAGGAGACGGGTAAGCGTCTTTAAAAAGAAAGATGTGTTCACATGGAGGGCATAAAGAGATGCCCCAGGAAGGTGTAGCAGGCTGTATAGTAAGTAGATGAGAGGCAAATGCTTTGAGCAGGTTGAGGGAAGAAGCAGATGAAGACTGTAGAATTTGGAGTCGAATTTGATGGGTAGCAGAAACCAGCACAAACAATGATCCATACATACCTTAGGAGAGTCAAATCAGCAGCTTCCTGTGGAGTGGTTGAGACCCTTGAAGAGAAATCATATATGCCAATTCTAAGGTTTCGGCACCAGGTGAACAAAAATTGAGGTATGGTGATATAGGAGGTTTATTGTACGAATATTATAGGTATTAGGCAGAATTCAGCTGGAGACTTCTGGAAGAGTCCAGACTTAATGGGGCCATAGAGGTGGAGGAGGAGTGGGAGTAAGAGAGGAAGAAGAGAGAGGAGAAAGGGAAACTAAGAGGCCACTAGTGAGCCAGGAAACCAAGAGGCCAAGAACCCGCATAGCCAACATGCTTGAGTAGGGAAGAGAAGCTGCAGGGAAGAGGAGTGAAGCTCAGGTATTGACTGAGTTTCTGTCCTGCCCAGTTCCTGCAATCATTAAGTCCCAAAGAAATCACACAGAGGTCTACATTAATTATAAACTGATTGGCCCATTAGCTCAGGCTTCTTGTTAACTCTTATAACTTATATTAGCTCATTATTCTTGTCTATTTTAGCCACATGGCTTGGTACCTTTATCGGTGCGGCAGTCACATCTTGCTTGTTCTGTGGCTGGGTCACAACTGCAGAAAGCAGAATCTTCTTCCCAGAATTCTCCTGTTCTTGTTGCCCTGCCTGGTTGACCTGCCTATACTTCCTGCCTGGCTACTGGCCAATCAGCGTTTATTTAAAATATAATTGACAATACAGATCATTGTCTCACACCACTCAGGCTGAGAGGTTGAGGTTGGGGGTGGGGGGAGTTTGCTAGCCAAGATGACTCTAACAGGTATTGTTGATGCTGAGAGTATCTGCTTTGATATGTTTAACAGGCACCTCAGACCTTTTAGCAATAAAAACTATCTTTTTAAATCTCTGAGGGAATGCTGACTTTTATCTAAATGCTGTACCTTGAGAAAAGGAGTTTCTTGAGCCCTAACATCTCACAAGTTTATGTCTGACCATCATGCATGAGTCTTTGTATTTACACACCCACCCGCATACACATAAACAAGCAAATAATAAGTGTAATTTAAAAAATGTAAATATGGCCTGAGAGATGGCTCAAAGGTTAAGACTATTCTTTCAGAGGTCCCGAGTTCAATTCCCAGCAACCACATGGTGGCTCACATCCATTTGTAATGAGATCTGGTGCCCTCTTCTGGCCTGCAGGGATACATGAAGGTAGATGCTGTATATATAATTAATAAATAAATCATTAACAAAAAATGTAAATAAAAATAGAAATGTTGCTTAATAAAAATTATGTGTGAATTGAATTGAACCCTAAATTTTACCTTTTTCCTGATAATTGTTTTTACTTTAGAAATATAAGCCTGGGCGATGCGATGATATTTTGAAATGGAAACCTCCTAGTCTGAACTCGGTGGATTTTCGACTTAAGATAACAAGAATGGGAGGAGAAGGGTAAGTGTGTACTCCAGGCCCGAATAAGGACTTTGTTTAGTTTTTGAAATCTGTTCTTGCCTTGTACAGCCCCAGCTAGTCTTGAACTCAAGATCGTATTGTTTCCCAAGTCTTGGGATTATTAGTCTATATTACCATTCCTGACTACCTTCATAAATTTTCACCCCACCTCCTGTCCGATTTGCATGAAATCATATTTCATATAAGACTTGACTGTTTATAGGCTAGTTTACTTTACTATGCAAAAGAAAGTAAAATAGTCCACATATTACATGTATATCTCATTTTTACACATTATTTACTGTTGACAAAGCTTTTTTCAAATTTTAAAGTTTCAATATAAAATAAATAATCTCAGCAATCAAATTTTGCATATGAGATCATTGATTTTAAAACTACAGGTACTGAATCAGTGGGGTTGTTCTTTTGAAGGGCATTTGTTTATACTTTATTAGGGGAAGTTCTTCATTATTGACCTATATTCATTTTTTATTTACTATCTATTTTTACTGTTGACTCTACTATAATAATGTTTAGTGTGAATATTTATTGTATTTTCAAAACCTTGGTTTTTTTTTTTTACAGATTAAAAAGCTTCTTAGCAAAGCAAATACAATAAAATAGGAAAAGTTTAATTGAGGAAAATATTAAAGAGGAAGTAAATAGGATAATGATAGCAAAGGGGTAAAGTTTTCAGGGCATGCCATTGAAGTTTGTTTTGTCTGTCAAAGGTAAAGTATAGATGCACCTTTGTAGATAATGGAGGCAAGGGCATATGATTGATTGCAAAAGTCCATACTCGAAGACTAAATATTAGTCTTTTAATAGAATATAAATATCTTTTAAGAGAATATAAATATTCAAAAAGGGGTGTTGTGTAATGTAGTGAATCTTAAGTAAAGAAAGGTACTTGATTAATGATGCATATTAATGCTAGTTTTTAAAATTAAAGTGTTTAATATTTTATACTTTTTGTGACTTAATTTGCTATTGTGCTTAATAGCAAAAATTTGTTAAAGAGTAATAACAATTTTAGCAGGGTGGTGGTGGCGCACGCCTTTAATCCCAGCACTTGGGAGGCAGAGGCCAGTGGCTCTCTGTGAGTTCGAGACCAGCCTGGTCTACAAGAGCTAGTTCCAGGACAGGCTCCAAAACCACAGAGAAACCCTGTCTTGAAAAAACAAAACAAAACAAAAAAAAAACAAAAAAAAAAAAAAAAGAAGAAAAAAAATTTGTTAAAGAATAATTTTCTCTGGCTCCTGAGTTTATTATATTCAGGTCTCTTTGTCTGTTACTAATCCATGGATAGATAATTTTATTTATTTATTCATTTATGTATGTATGTGTGTGTGTATGTATGTATATGTGTACAGTTTTCAGAGGACAACTTGTAGAAGTTAGTTCTTCAAACATGTGGGTCTGCAGATTATCAAGTGTTGGTGGCAAGAACCTGTACCCGGCGAGCAATCTAGCTAGCCACATAGAAATAATTTTAGACTATAGGGATACATTTTGTATACAAACACACACATGCATGATTGGGAGGCTGTTTATGAAAATATTTTGTCTAAATAGTTTGATTAATACTGAGTCAAGTTTATTTTTCTGATGTATTAACATTCTCTCTAGCTGTGGAGGCTTAGTGCAGTAAGCAAGAATGTATACTTATGCTTGTTTATACTAGTGTTACTGTCATAAGTAAAAGCACCATGTTGGCAAAATATTTAGGATATTTGAAAAATGTCCTTGTCTAAGAAAGAATTGGGTCAGTAGGAATATAGTTAATGATAAACTCTGTAGGGACATGCCTTTGTTTTGCTGTGCACTTTATTCTCCCTTGTTTTGAAATGAATGTCCCGCAGTTTTAATTTTACTATACTTTAAATTACTTAAAGAAGTAGAATTTGGAGATTCTACTTATATAGTACCATCAGTGGTATTATAAAGATTGGTTAGTGAGTGCCATGAAAGGGGTGTGTGTCTGTGTGTAGAAGTATAGAATGTACCTTGTTCATATCCAACCCAGATTCTTTTCACACTTTGTGGGACTTCCATACCCAATACCTCGTTTTCCCTCGTTTTAGTTCTCCTCCTCCTCTTCCTTTTTTTTTTTTTTAATTTCTTTTATAACTCATTGGACATACCCTAGAAGAGAATGATTCTTTCTTCATTCATTACCAATAGATCCTCAGCCAGGAGTTGAGCCTAATGAGACCCTCTTGCATTTATTTCTTTTGGAATGTTGACTAGTGCCAGTCTTGTGCAAGTAACAGTTGTTGTGAGTTCAACAACTATGCGAACTTGGTGCGAACGTTGTGTTCACAAACCAGTATTTCACAGCACTCCTCCCCATGCTCCCCTCTTCTATGTTTTCTGAGTCTTGAGTTGATAGAAATGTTTTATTTAGGGTTGAGCATTTAGTAGCCACCTGTTCTCAGCCCCTTGACCATTTAGGAGTTTTACCACTCATTGCATAAAGCTGTTTCTCTGACTGACTTTGAGAGAAGCATTAATCTCTGTGCATTAACATAAATGTTTCCAAGACACTTTGAGTATGAGTCCACTTAGTAAAACAATAATAGTAGGTTACACCCTAGGGTAAGAATACTGTGAACAAAATTTAATTTATACCAAAGTATAATAATCTTAGTTTTTCAGGAAAATAAAAGATTATCTTCTATTTCATTGATTTGTCCTTTTATAAAAATCCATATGTTACTGGGGAAAATTTACGGTTCCCTTTTGTGGTCACTGAGTCTCATTGATAAAAGAATTTAAAAGCAGGACCAGTGAGGTGGTGGCTCAGTGTATAAAAGTGTTTGCGACAAAATTCATTTGTATCTGAATTTTATTTTGGGGGACACACCTGATACATACACATATACTCCATTGGTAGAAGTAAAGATCTGACTGCTGAAACTTGCCCTTATTCTTCTTCTTTTGTTTGTTTGTTTGTTTTAATTGTTTTTATTGAGCTATGTATTTTTCCCTGCTTCCCTTTCTTCCTTTCCCCTCTCCTTCAATCTTTTCCCATGGTCCCCATGCTCCCAATTTACTCAGGAGATCTTGTCTTTTTCTACTTCCCATGTAGATTAGATCTATGCATATCTCTCTTAGGGTCCTCTTAGTTGTCTGCCTTCTTTGGGATTGTGAATTGTAGGCTGGTTTTCTTTGCTTTATGTTTAAAAACCACTTATGTGTGAGAACATATTATATTTGTCTTTCTGGGTCTGGTTACCTCACTCAATATGATGTTTTTTAGATCCATCCATTTTGCCTGCAAATTTTAAGATGTCTTTTTTTTTTTCTGTTGAGTAGTACTCCATTGTGTAAATGTACCACATTTTCCTTATCCATTCTTTGGTCAAGGGGCATGTAGGTTGTTTCCAGGTTCTATGTGCCCTTGCTCTTAAGGAAGCTTGGGGACCATTTTCTAAGTTTTCATAGAAAAGCGACAAACTAGGCAAGCTGTAAAGTAGAAGAGGAGGAGTTTTTTCTTGCTGTGCCTTTTCAGTTGAGGTTCATGAAAGCGACCTTGTCCAGCAGTGCAGCCTCAAGGTGGACGAGGACCAGGAACGTTAGAGAACTGAATGGAATATCCAGAGGGTCAATGAAAGCATTCACAAAAGTAGGAGCAGGCAAGTGAATGAGGAAAAGGCCAGGAAACCCTGGGTAAAGAAGGTGCATGTCCCTTCTAGGACATTTTCACGTCTTTCTGTGTGAATGATGTTTAGATCTGCTAATCTTGATACTGCTCTCATTTAGACTTTTGATCCTTTCTTCCTCCCTGTAAGTTAACTTTAATACCATTCTCTCCCTTGTCTGTAGGTTTTAGAATTTTGGTGATTTCTTTTGGATCACCAGAATCTTTATATTATCAAAACCAATCTATTTTGCATATTGGTTTTGAAAGTGGAGATTTCCTGTTTATTCCTAAAATGGGTTTCTCTAATTTTTCAAAGGGGTAAAATATTTTCTGTGGCATTACACTAGCTTACTACAAAGGCAGTTTAAAAAATAACCTTAGTGAAGTGAAACCATGTTTTAGTCCAGCGACTATGTTTTATATGATTGAATGTGGAATTTAAAAATTAAGCTTGTTTTGGTTTATTGAGATTTGACCCAAAGTAGTATTTTAGTTTCTCTATATCCCAAGTTCAAATTCCTGTCTATAACTTAAGGATAAAAGGAAAGGAGATTTGAGCTTTTTAACCAATGTGCATTTCTAATATAAAATCAAGATTAGGTTAAATAGCTTTAATTATTAAAATAGTTTAAAAATAATTCATAATATGTTCCTTTACTTTTCAATGTCTATGTTGAATGAAGTCATTTATTTTGGCTTAAAGAGTTAGTTATAATGAGATGATATTTAATATCCTTTAACACATGACAGCCTCAAAATATAAATATGGAAATTTATTACAAAAAGAAAGGGCACATCATTGTTAATGCAGGCCTTTTATCTCAAGGAAATGGAACTCATATCAAGCTCTGCGTCTCAGGGGAGAGTATATGTGGGAGGGATTAGAGAGGCTTGGTTCATTCTTTGTGTACATTAGAAAACTATCTTAGGCTAGACTCTCAGGTCTTTAATAAAGGGATAATAGGGGCAGTTATAATTCAAGACTTTTGCAAGACTATGTATAGTGATGGAACTAGTACTTTCTAGTACTTTAATTTTATTGTATTGGTCCCTGCTGTTAATGACCTTTGTTTAAAAAATACACTTTCTTATAAGAAATTTGTTTCACTACAGTAGAAACTTAGACTTTGGGTCTTGGGCACATGTTTACCAACATGTCTGGTAAGAACACTACTGATCTAACATTCTGTTTTTAAGAAATGTGTTTTTATAATTAGAAACCTCTGTCAACTTGAGGATGCTGGTATCTGTATTTTCCACAAAAGATTCTTTATACTCATATTGATAAACAGAGTCTATTTTAGATGATAGAACCATCTTTTACTCATCAAAAGAAGTGTAGACTGCACCTTTT